ATTTAAGGAAGGGACGTGAACGTTCGAGAAGATGACGTGTTACTAGCGTCACGTGACCTCCACTGTCGTAACACTGCCCCTTCCTTAGTATTGTTGGTCCGAACAATAGCCACTTACATTAAACCAATAAACAATAACTTAATTACATGTACAGAATTTACAAACCCAAAGTTACAATTCAACAAAGTATCTTAATTTTACGGGACGTATCTTCTTCTGTACTGGCCTCCGTCTCGTTGGCTTCTGCTTCATGTGGGGTTCATCTGCTTCATCAGGAAATGTCCTATCATTGGTAACAGTCACATCGGTGGTAGTAACTTCATCAAGGGCTTCACTGTTTCCCTTCTCAAAACTAAGTAGAGTTTCTTCTTTGACAGTGGCTTCTTCAGGCGCCACGTCTTCAGCAGCGTCATTTGTTCTGTCGTTCACTTCGTTCCAACTGAAATGTCCTGGACCGTGATAATGCCAAAGCCTGTTGGCATGCACTACCTTTGGCTTACCTCGTTGACCACATTTTATCCGGAAAGTCACGTCTGAGAGACGACCCACTATGCCATATGGGCCTTCCCATGGAGAAGATAACTTTGGAGACTTCCCTTTGGTCTTCCTGGGATTATACAGCCACACCTTGTCTCCTGGTACAAAGCTGACTTCAGTAGATCTCTTGTCATAAGATAACTTCATCGAATCAGCAGACGTTTTCAAGTTTGAACGCACTTGATGGTGAATATCATCCATCTGTGGCACAGATAACGGTTGAATCAACAAATGAATGTATAATAATAGATATTCAACTATTAAATAATAATTGTAATACAATAGCAGGAATATATTGGTCTCCCTCTAAAACAATATATATACATTTACTAAATAAGTTAAATCGATATAATAAAAACCTTATTATAATAGAAAATCTTAATAGCAAACATAAAAATTTTGGATGTAATAAAACTACGCAGAACAAAAGGAAGTTAGTGAAATTTTTAGTAAATAGCGACTGCGTGTTGTTGAATGATTTGTTT